CGCGAAAAGTTAAACTTTGCTCAACTTTTGGTGTATCTGCGGCAGAATGTCAGCGTATCCAATATGGCGGAATTTTGGCCAATCAGAATTCTGCATTCACGCCATAAATGTCAAATTACGCTCATGAGAAGCCGCCCTATGGTTGCAACCGTTTCGTTTTCTTGAATTTTTTAATTTACTGTCCATATTTGTAACTATTTGGAAATAAAGCAAAAACAAATACAAATTTGTGCAATCAAAATTCAAAGAAATATTTCAAAAAAAGAAAAAAAAATATAATTTTGACATACGCGGCGGCGTAAATTCTCCATTCCATGTGAATGTTGCGCCAAAATTCACGTATTCAGCATTTGCGCCAGTTATGTCAAGTTTACGCTCATGAGAAGCCGGCCTCAGAGTATGGTACTAAAGCCAGAGTCTTTTGCGTCCGTTTTCCGACATCCGATGTCCAGAAAACCTTCTACTGACAGTCGTATTAAAATATATTAGAATAGAAGGTTTTTCAGAAATCGAACGTCAGAAAATGGATGCAGGAGACTTCGGCTTAAAACAAGCTATAGACAAAATTTGGCCAAAAAAACTTTTTTTGGGCGTGGCACCGTTTTTTTTTTCTTTAGCATTTAGTGCTTTCTCCACTCACCTGTCCCAAAATTTTAGATGTGTACAGCATTCCTACAAAAAAAATATGGTCACCCTAATATTGAGTAATAATTGAGAAGTAGGTAGGGGCAGTAAAAAATAGAACACACTATTGCAACCACGTTTCGCTTATATTTAGATATTGAAATGCAAAAATTAAACCGGCTCGCTCAAGTTGGCAGCCCACATTTAGTTTTCTACTGTTTCTCAACTGTAGTCAATTGTGCCCGTTTTGTGCTCAATTGTGTCAGTATTTATGCGAATTGTGCTCATTCACATACACAAAAAAAAACATTGAAACAAATCCGGGGGCCAGCTTGACTCCAGCCCTTTGTTTTTTTGACTTTTTGGCAATATGTTTGGCTAACTGATAAACAAAAGCAAACAAACTCGTCTTTCTAATTAGCCAACCACTCAAAAAACACAAACCGATCAAGGACTGCATGACGTCATTCGCATACCGCCATCTTCGATAAAAATGAACGTTTGTCTTATGGGATTGAGCAATCCTGTAGAGTTTATGATTCTTGCCTAGTACGTTAATATTTTTGATTTAATGTGTCTAATGGCCATTTCCACCAACTAATTTAGAGGAGCCATTTTCCTAAACTGACATTTAGGGATACTTATCGTTAAGGCTTCCCTAAAATAGTTGGTGGAAACGGCCATAAATTGAATATTTCAAAAATGTATTGAAAAAAGTTCAAGCAAAAACCAAAGCATCAAAAAATTTATTTATTGTTACTTTTAAGAAGGCGGTGGAGGGGCGCCAAAATTTGGACTTGCCTTGGGCGCCGAGGGTTCTAGTTGCGACCCTGGGCCATGTAAAGGTGCATCTCCACCAAGCGCGCAAAACGATTTCAAATTTGCGAATTATCAGCAATGTTTGTGAACAAATTTATTTGATTGGTGGAGAAGGAATTTAAAATGTTTGCAACCATGTGGAAAACACTCTTTCTTTTGAATACACATGATTATGGAAACAGGTGGCGGTGACAATAGCTTTTTTTCGCGCAACTATTTTGTTGCGAGCGTTTGTGCCTTCATCATTATTATGAAACCCCCCCTCCCCCCAAATAAAAAACCTGGGTGCGCCACTGAGTCATTCTAACACCCTGATCTATGTAAGAAGACTAATGCCCAGTTTCACATTTGGTGGTAACCTACACTGATGGTTATCAAATTTATAGTTGCGGTCTGGCCATAAGTTCGCAAAATAGGACTTAAAAGTTAAATAATCTGAAGTTTGACTATTGGTTTTTGCTAAACCACACGTTATGAAACAGATTAGTATATCGTTGGTTACCATATTACCAGTGTCATGTGGTTGGGCTACCGCTGTTTGTGAAACTGGCCCTAAGAAGACTAATAGTGTGCTTATAGTAGCTGTGACTTTATTTGAATGAGCAAAAGAACCACTTTTTATCACAGAAAATTCAATTATTATGTTCAACGATCAGGATATCTAAAATTTATGCACATACAGAGTTGAAACTAATTGGATTATAAAAACCCTGCCATAGATGAATTACAAATGATTGATTAATATTACCATAAATTATGTCTAAGTCATGTTAAATAATGATAAATGGACTTAAACTACCGTATTACCGACTAATTAAAAGTTACAAACAAAAGAACTCCCGCACGCACTATCAATATTCATTTATTATTGCTCCCAATAACGAAATCGTTTAATGTTTATGCCAAATCGATCGTAAATATAGTACGAGGCCGTTATTGTTTGAAATATTCAAAGAGAGGCTTATTGCGCCTGAGAAAAGGCACTCGTGCGTGACAATATCCCATTAGTTTATAGCCTATTGAGATTTTGTATAATTTGTAAGTTGTTTGTTCAACGAGATCTTGAAAGTAACTACTTATAGTGAAACACGGATTGTTGGCAAAAGATATTCAATTAGCTACTCAAATGAGGAGTGAAGTTTCAATTCAACTTGGAAGAAAAGTTTACAAATTTTTGGACGCCAACTTCTTTCAAAGCAACGCAAATTTAGCTGAAACACGCTTTATTGGAATTTGCTGTTTAATAAAGTATCAATTTATATTACAATGTGATAAAGTGAGACAAAGTAACAAAAACCAGAAGTTAGCTCTATTTTATTGAAAGAAATCAACCTCTTCAGCGTTCGATGTTCGATATTGACGATATTCATCAATAAGCCAGACCGATAGATATCTAATTTTGAATAAGTACTGTATGATAAGTTCGAATAGTTTTAGGGCTATTCTAGATAACAGAAAATTAAAATTTAAGAAATAACAGGAACATTCTAGAAACGTTAACTGAGATTGACTGTAAAATGCAGATTACATTCTTTTTAGGGTGTTAGTCAGGACCTCGTCATCATCAGCATATTATAGCTGACAAACAATAAGATACCTTGTTCTTGGCTCGAAGTCTGCTTGAATTGAATGGCTTATTATCAGACTTATTTCAAGTCCTAACGGCCGTTTTTTTTAAGGTCCAGAAATGTCATATACAGAGATTTATTTTCACTCAAATCACTCAATACTTCATACATTCAGGCAATATTTCCCAACCAACTTACTTAAATTTATTAGAGGGAAATGATAATATGTATATAACAATAATATAAGTATATACATAAATAAATAATAACTTGAATAGCGTACATTCTTAACCTAATAAATTTAATACAATGAATATTGAAACAATCAAAAAAATCAATACCTACACATAATTAAATTATAAATTACATGTTTGTATTAAATTTTTAATATTTTGTGGTGAATGATTATAAATATTAATTCAATTATGATTAATTGATCTTTTTGCAAATTCACTATTTATTCCAATTTTTTTAGATATTTTTTTAAAGAAATTATGTATTGAAGTTTTTGAGAACTTCCTGATTGGCTTGGTGACCTGTGGTTATAGTGATTTGTGGTACAGCTAAAACCAAGATGTAGTTTCATACTGATTTATTATTAAAAGAATCCAACTATTCACACTAACAATACGAGTCATTAACTTGAGGTGGATGTGCCAACTTCAATTAACAAATAAATTTGCTACCGTTTGCAGATCTAGTAACCCAGTAATTATTATTATTATGCCGTGAGTATGCTGACACTTATATTTTAAACATTATTTCATTAATAATTAGGAACTTATATTATAGTGAGTGATTCTAAATTGTTAGGATGATTATTTGACCCTGACATAATTTTGTAATGGAATGATAATTATGTCTAATTTTGGGATTGGACATAGTTTTCAATCATAGCTCTTTCACTAAAATTTGAATACCTATGTAATTTAAGCATAAAATCTTAAATGAGGGACTATTTTAGGTATTATTACGAAATTGCCTCGTGAGACAATAGACAAGAAAAAAAAGCCCGAAGACAGGCAGAAAAACAAGAAGAAAAAGAAGAAGCCTGAAAGCAAAAAAAACAGAATAAATTCACGAATGCAATGGAAGTAGGTAGTACGTGAAGAAGTTGGGAGTGTTCATCAGAAAGTTGAAAGTGTTCACCAGGAAGTTGATATTACTGTGCGTCAGGATAATTGAATTGTTCGCCAAGAAGGTGGAACTTTTCGCCAAGAAACGAGAAACATTTTCAACATTTTTATCTAAAATAAATTATTAAAACAAAGTCTACACCATTTCGGAATGTTTGTGAATTTTTTGTGGAGCGACAAATGTATTTTAGAAAGTTCTTAATCAATATTTGGGTATTCGTCTTGTATTTTGATCATAGGTTGTATTTTTCATATTTTTGTTTGTTTTATATATTAACTTTTTGCGTGGATGCTGATTTTCTTTAGACCAATAATGAACATTTCTTCTATTAAAAATTCCATTATGGGTAATCATGCTTCCATTACTTCATAATATTATTTGGTGGAGAAAATTTTCGTTGTCTTGGCATTGTTCTATGATTTAAGTCCTTGGCAAATTTGATATTTATATGGATGAAATGAACTAGAAGAGAAGGCACTAGAAGAATTAAAGATTTTGCGTATATGTAAATATTTCTTCTTCTACAAGTACCATGTTCTCTTCGAACGTTGGCTATCATCAGCGCTATTTGCACCTTGTCCACTGCTTTTCTGAAAAAAGTAATTGTACTAACACCACACCATTGTCTAAGGTTTCATAGCCGTGATATTCGTCTACGACTTGCACCTCTTTTTCCTTCAATTTTTTCAGTTTAAGGAGTTCATATTTGTCATTTCTTGAAATGTGTCCAAAATATTCAAATTTACGTTTTTTGATGGTGTTTAATAAGTTAAATAGTTTGACCAGCGTATTTAACGAATCTTCGTTCTTTGGAAGTTTTAAAACTTCTGTGTATACTTCGTCTTGCCCTACCGCTTTTCTGGTTTTATCCAAAGATATTGCGTGCTGAACTTCTTCTTTTGTAATATCTATGCCTTGGTTTGAGAATTTCTCCGGATGTTCGGACCGATTATCGCTAAAAAGATTTTTAATGTAGTTACACCATTTTGGTAATTTTTCTTTAGTATCAGGTTTAATTTTGCCTTGGTTGTCCACAAGGATTCCTGCTTGTTTTTTATTAAATAATTCGGCCGCTTCCCTTATGATGTGCTTGTGCAAATTTAACGTGTCATGTTTAGCATCAAGATGTTCTATTTCTTGACATTGTTGTGTTATCCATTCTTGTTCTGCCATCTTTTTTTGTTTTTCATTAGTCTATTCATGTCCTTGTACTGAGGGTTGCCATCCAGACTTTTTTTTTTTTGAAGAAAGTGTTTGACACGACAAAATCATTTTCTTGTACCTAGACCGTATCTTCCAACAATGTCTTCTCGTAAAGTGTTTCCTAGTTTTACGTTGAAATCCCCCATAACAATTGTAATTTCAGACTTTTTTGTGAAGCTTAGGGCAGCTTGAATTTTATCGTAAAATATCTCTACGACATCGTCTGAGTGTTTACTTGTAGGAGCGTATATAATATTAACATTGAAGGGTTTACAGTTTAACTGGGAGAAATATGACTCGATCCGACACAGGAACAAAGGATATAAGGGATTTCTGAGTTTCTTGGTTTAGAATTATTGCGACGCCGGTATAGTGACTTGAGTCTTCATTACCTGTGTGATAGATATGGTGATCGTCTATCTGGCATTCACCTGAGTTAGGCCATCTTACTTCACTAACTCCCAAAATCTCTATGTCTGACCTTTTCATCTGTTTGACAACATTATTCACTTTTCCTGCCTGAAACATACTTCGAACGTTCCAGCATGCAATCTTCTTCATGACAGGGCCGGAGATTCTTAGCACCCTTTTGGTTTTCCTGTCATGCTGATGATTTTTCCTGGGGATGATAATGAAGTGGTTTCCCGTTGCCTTCCTCATCGCAGTATTGAAACCGTTAAGACAGTCCTTGTCACACTTTTAACTGCATAACTTTCTGCCGTTTTCTTTCTATATCTAGAAATACGCCAGCAATTACTTTTAGTGCTACTGCTTCATAACACTAATTTTCTCGCCATATCTGACCACCCTCACATAGTTCAGCCTGCAGGTCGGTGCAGTATCCAGGGTGTGGCACGTGGAGCCATATGTGAGAGAAAGCTGACCGCCTTGTAAGGACCAATTATTTAAGACCATCTCCAATATAAAATGACTCTCGATGCCATCGTCTTAACAAGAGGGGCTACCTCTACAGCGCAGCTCAAACCCAAAGTACTACTACTAAAAAATTAGCTGAAAATGTAGAGTCTTCCGTATGTGTACTTGGTACACATACACTATAGAAGGATTCCAATGCCTTTAATTTAAGGTTCGACAAGTAAATTAGTGAATTATGGAATTATTGAGAAAGTAGACCAACCTACCAATTAGGCTCTCCAAACCAAGTGATTTTTCAAAATGGCGACCGTGAAAAATTTAACATTTGTTTGTTTATCTTGAGTTTATTTGGAATATTTTCAAGCTAAATACAGTTTACTTTGTTGGTTAGTTTAAAAAAATGTCCAGATGACATTTTGATCCACAGTTCACATTAATGAGCAAATGAAGGCCTACAAAAGCTTAGATTAGAAAAAAAATGGTGACAAAATCCGAATATATGTAGATAAGATTATACAAATCCAAAGTCCAAAAGTTTCTACCAGTCTAAACTTCCAGAATCTATATATTTATTGTCTATTTGGAATAGGTATGCTCTTTGCCAAAAATTTTTCAAAAAAAAGTTATTTCAGATTCTAGACAGCTGTGGCGCTAACTCCGTTGTTGAGTTTTCCAACTTGGGTTGAGAAATAACACCAACTGTTGTATCAAAGACTCGAGGACTTCAATTTGCAATTATTTGGAACACAAAATGAATATAATAATTTTAATAAAGTAAAGATGATTATGATTATAATTTTAGTTATGAAAAAATGACGTTTTTCTTGTGGACTGTATATTAGGTTATGGTTATGATAGCCCTTTTCTGTTCTGATTCTGCTGTCACCTGTCACGCACTCAAGCACTTCTCTCTTTTTTCTTCCTTTTTTCTTTGCTATAATATCAAGTTCACTCATAGCAACCCGATGTCTTTAACAATGATGTGACAATGATCAAAATTTAATAAAAGTATATACTTCAAATGAATATGGAATAATTACTTTCTCTTCTCTCTCTTTTCAGTCATTATTCATTCCACTCCTGAATATAGGTACCTATTAAAGCAATACAAGTTTTCAAATAGGGTGCTGTGTGCACGTCAAATACTTAAATAGAAAAAAAATTTGTATTTCGTGTACCTAAGTCTTTTTTTTTTTTTTTTAAGACAACTGAAAAATTTCTCTCCTGTGGCATTTTTGTAAAAATCAAATACAGTCAAATTTTTTAATTTTTCCGTAATTATTAGTCATTGGCCGCGTTCACCAGATACAAACGTTGGTAAACGCTTTGCGATTATTCTGCTGATCGCTATGTTGAATTTGTGTTGAAACCAAACATGTTTTGCAAACGGGCGCCATTTTTGAAAGCCTATTTTAAGAGTGTTTATAATTTTCAACACATTAGCCCTTTTCACGTGGCTCCGGTTTAACAAACCGCAACATAGGTACCGCTCAAATTCAAGTGGTATCGATGACGTCACTTGTAACCGGGTTAGGAAATGGTATGTCATTTCTCTAACCAGCTCAGCGATAAGGTTACGTGTAACGGTCAGAACAAAAAAAATAGAAAATTTGTTAACAACGGGAAAATTCTGACAAGTGAAAACTTAAATATAAAGTTGTGTTCTGTTAATGTTAATATTATTTTAAAGTTTCTACCTATCTAATCAATTGACGAACATGCAAACAATTTAAGTTAAAATAAATAATAGGGAATTTTTTTTTTCAAGTTACATCAACCTATTATAAATGCTGACAGGTCGTTGGACTGCCTTATTTAAAATAACATTTTTTCTAACCGTTCATTTAAGTGGCATTTTCAGTGACGTCATCACTTGACATACCGCTACTAACCGTTTTTCAACCCGGTTAGTTTAAACCGGAGCCATGTGAAAGGGACTTTTCTATTTTCTGTGGTGACATGATATTCAGAGGGTGAAGTTCTGGCATTGAAAAGTTGAATCGTTCAGCAGAACCAAGAGTTTACCCAACATATTCTGTTGGTATTTGTAAAATATTTACAACCCATTTTGGTTCTGGTGAACGCAGCCATCAATAACATTCAACGAAAATGAGTTTGAACCCACCTATTTATTCATGTTAGGCCTGGTTTATTCACCGTCTGATAAACTATTGGTTTATTGAATGATTTGGTGAATTTGTCTTGCATTGTATAGATATTTACCAGCAAGTTTTTCGCAAAATGAATAAACGAGGTATAAATATAAATGGTGGTGGCTCCTAGCTTTCTTACTCATAACTGAGCATTGGTTAGCAGAAAATGCATCATTTTGTATTGTAAATTATACTCTGGTGTCTCTCTATTGTAGACATAATAAAACTCATGGTGAAACTGCTATTCTTATAGATAAGACATTTTTACAATCTTTTGATGTGACCCTCATAATAAATTTAATACTCTTTTAATTGAAAATGTTTTTGAATTTTCCTGAGTGTATAACAAAAAGAATAATTTATATATTTTTTGTATATACAGGTCCCCTATTATTCAAACTTATTTAAAGCAATACTTTGAAATTCTTCTATCAAAACTACTACCCAAGGCAGGTTTGATACTAGGGTGAGGCCCTAATATACATTTGGATTATTACAGATCAGAGGCAAAGCAAATTCTGTCTAACTTGTTTTTATCATTTGACCTAGAGATGTATTATGTTAATATGAACCATCTATAATAAACTGCTCATTTTCAAACCAAAATTGGTTGTCTATGTTCAAATTTCGCCCTAAAGCAAATGTTTGTTAGCTGCAGTGTAATTCCTGTTTTAGCAAAATTTCAACTTGCGATCAATGAACCACCAAAGTATAAAATTGGTGACTACTTAGCAGTAACAATAATAAAAAACTTGCATATATTAAGGAATTAAATTGGTCAACAGTTTTGAATTGTGAATCACCACTAAACGAATAGTTACCAAAAGTTAGTAACTGATGCATTTATAAAGTCTTTTCTTCCATTACAAAAAATTAAACACAAGAAAAGTAAACTGGATTACGTCCGTTATTAGAGCTTCATCAAAAAACATGCGTTCGTTACAAATAATACGTAAATTTACTGATGTCACTCTGACTGGTTTGTGATTTTTGCAGTAACAGACCTAATAACTGACACTCAATTTAGAGTCCAATCATTCAAGAGAGCATCACCGAACTCCGCTACGCGTCGTTCGGTGAACGGCAGCCGCGTGCGGAAAAATTCATTTTCCGCACTTGTTAGGTAAATGCTATTTTTTTTTTATTGTGAAAATAATTTCACATAAAATGTCTGTGCACTCGCGTTACGGATATTCACATACAATGTCAGCACTCGCGATACAGTTTAGTATTGATTTGGTAGAATACAGACTTTAAGAACCGGTCTTTTAAAAATGCCTGATGAAGTTTTGAAAGTTACTGATCGTATTATACCATCATTTCCCGGGTGTAGTTCAGTTATTCTTCCTAGCTTCCATTTAAGCGGTGGAAGTCCATCTTCTTTAACGACAATCAATGTACCAATCTTCAAATTTTGCTGGAAGTTTTGTTTCCACTTGACTCGTTCTTGTAAGGTCGATATATATTCAATGGACCATCGTGATCAAAAATGTTGCAGTAACTTTTGCAATCTTTCAAATCTAGAGAGTCGGTTCTCGTTTATTTCATTATAGTCATAATCAGGAATTGAGGTCAGTGTCTCGCCAATAATGAAATGTGCGGGAGTTAAAGGAGTTGGATCATTGGGATCCTGTGAAAGTGGGCAAAGTGGCCTGGAATTGAGGTAAGCTTCAATTTGGTATAAAAGTGTTGTAAAGTCCTCGTAAGTCAGAGAAACCTCTCCTATGATTCGTTTCATTCGTTGCTTTACAGACTTGACGTCTGCTTCCCATAACCTCCCTTGATGTGGTGCGCGTGGTGTGATAAACCTCCATTGAATGCCGTCATTCAATAAAGCAGTATGGATTTTACATTCATTTTCCATGAAAAATCGTTGAATTTCATTATTTGCACCAACATAAGTACTACCATTATCTGAATGTATTTCAAGAGGTTGGCCAC